AGAAACAGCACATCAAGAGAACGCAATAAGTTCAGAAAAGAAAAGGGCAAAATCAATCTAAATGACCAAATCGCAAAATACAAGACATTAGAAAACGATCAATCGACAACCCATCACATCTAAAGCGATCGATTAATCGAAGCATACAAATTCGGAAACAGTTGAGTTAAGCAAGATAAATCATAATTTCCCAAATTGAGAGAGGTCAATTAACTACTTACAAGAGCGCTCTGAGCTCGTCGATGGCCTGCTCTGCTAGAAGAAAACCTTGAGAAAATGCCCACCATCTGTTTGATGAAAAGCCCAAACCAAAAATCACAAGCAAAAACGAAATGGGTATTGAGATCTCCCCTCCTTTTGCTCTAAAAACCCCGTTTTCTCACTCTTTTCTCTCTCTAAAATAGTGGAAACACCAGAGACAAACATATGAGTCCAAAAATTTTCAAACCCAAGAAGGATCGGATCTCGACTAGTCCAAAAGGGAAACAGAAGTCGCTTTCCCTCTCTTGAATTGCTTACAGGGGAAGAAGAAATTGAATTGGGGAAAACGAAAGGATAGCTATTAGCTTGGTTGTGGTCTGTGGAGGGTGGAGCTTTACTTGACGTGAGGGGTTTCGATTTAGAATCTTTGGTTGTCTTTTTGTAGTAAAAATTGCGTGGATTTGGCTTTGGCTTTGGCTTTGTAATTCTCTGCTCACTAACACTAACAATAAATAAATAATAAAGCTGTGGAGAAGATGGAAAGGCAAAGGTCGGCAGAAGGCATGGAAGGAAGAAGACCCAACAAAGTACATTAAAAGAGATAAAAGGGAGAAAATCCATTTGGTTGCTTATTGGATTGTAAGATTTTAGGGGCAATTTTTGGAACAAAATTTACGGTACTACCAGACTATATGGTCCATTTCATTTATTACTTGTCTCGTCAATGTCATATTAAAAATAACGTGAAGTGAACAAAAATATAAAATTACAATGTGAAGTGAAAAAAAGAGTATGGTACTATCGTAGTAGTGGAAATTTTCACAAGTGGAGGTAGTATGAAAATTTTGTGAGATCAAATTTTTATTTTTATTTGTTTCCAATTTATGGTATACGTGAGTATGGATACTTTTTGTAGTATTGTAATTTTTCCGATATGCAAGTCAATCTCACCTCGTTCTTAAATGATGTTGTAGAAAATTTGTAGAAAATTTCATAGTACTATGATAGTATGACAAATTTTCTATACTACTACATTACATTACAGGGTTTGTTGAATAATATTTAGTAAAGTACGTTCATCTTTTGAAATATATATGCAAAAATTACTAAATTAATATGTGTAGAAGTTTTTAAGGAAACCATTTTTTAACCGTAATTCAAATACCGAAACCAAAATTCTAAATAATTAGGGACCATGTTGAAAAGATATACAAATCAAAACATCATTTATACCACAACCTTGACTTATGGTCCCCTTTTCCATCGAGGTAAGATATGTATGTATATATTGAAAAAATCTATGGAGTATATTTTAACTTACTGCATTGTCAGTCAAAACGAGCATAGCTTAGTAGTAATTGACATATACCTCAAACTATAAGGTTGTAAGTTTGATCCCCACCCCACATGTTTTTTCATAACTGGTAAAGTGAAATGGGGACTAAACCTTTAATTGTGATGACCACTTAATTAATAATTAATTTTTCATATTTGTTCTTTACAACCAAATACAGTAAGATGAGACATTGTTTCGTGAGATTAGTTTTAATTAAATTGATGGGATGTAAATTTGGATAAATATTGAGTGAATTTTAATTACTTCTTTTAACATTTGTCAACGTTTTTTTTTTCCTTTTTCATCTATTTATAAATAATATGTAGCTACATTTGATAAGTGTTTATTATTTTATTGAAAAAAAATCATAAACATTTTAAATAAGCATTTATTTGTATAATTATTCAAAATTTTAAATTAGAAGAGACTTTGATATGAACATTCAAATTTTAAATTAAATATTTCAAACTTTTTAAAGTAAATTATTTTTAAGTTTATTTTGTATTTTTACTTTTTTTTGGTAATAATAATAAAATAATATTTTTTATTTATATTACAAAAATTTTGATTTCTCCAAATTTTACTTTAAAAAAAAGAATAGTCATGTCCAAATTTTACCATAACTTTTTTAATTTCACCCAATTGAACATATATACATACATCCATATACATATATATATATAAAAAGTGTTCCAATTTTGCCTTGCATTTAACTTCCACTCAGTCATTTACTGAGTTTAACAAAAAGTAGTGTAAAAATCTCAAAAACTCACTCATTCTATCAATTTAAGCATAACTCAGACTAAATGTACATAATCAAAATATCAAATGTTTGAATTTCCACCCAACATATTGTTGTAGTTAAAAAAAACCCACTCATTTTAATAAAAATTCAGTTTTGCACCAAATTAAATTTGATCAATACATATAATAAAGGAACTACGTCCAAAAATATATATATATATATATATATATATATATATATACACACACACACAAACTCTTAAGTTTAATGTTTCTTTGAAATCTCATCAATTCCGTACCATACAAGATACATAAGGTTGCAACACTTTCGTTTAAATTGCAATTTAATGAAATTGAAAGTTTTAAAGTAAAAATTGATATATTTTTTACTAGTTTATTAGTAAAAGTTAACACGTTGGCATAAGGGGTGTTCAAAAAATCCAGTGACCCGACCAACCCAATCCGATTGGGTTGGGTTAGAAATTTTTTCGGGTTGGGTTGGGTTGATTTTTTTAAGAACCGAAAATGCGGTTCGGTTCACAGGTTAAATGAATTTTTGGCTGGTTCAACCCGAATCGAACCGAACCGAATCCTATATAAATTAATGTGTGTGTGTCTATATATATATATGCTTTTTTTTTTACGTAGTTACTTTATTATATGTATCGATCAAATTTAATTTGGTACAAAACTGGATTTTTATTAAAATGAGTGGGTTTTTTTTAACTACAACAATATGTTGGGTGGAAATTCAAACCTTCGATATTTTGATCGTAGTTTGAGTTATGCTTAAATTAGTATATTATAAAGAAACCCTAGTTCCTAATAGCCCACCTTGTCTACCTCCTCCTCCCCCTTCCTTTCCCTTCTCTCATCTCCCTTCATCTCCATCTCTTCTTTCACTCTTGATCTCTCATTCTCATCTCTTCCATAAATCTCATATACTAATTGTTGTCATCCATTGTTCGATCTACTGTTATTTATCGTTGTTCGTTGTTGTCTGTTGCGTACCAAGATCTACTGTACAAGATTTGTTACTATTCATCGCTACTCACCGCTAGATCTGTTGCTGTTCATCATAGTTTGTTGTTGTCCTCGCCAGATCTACTGCCATTCGTCGTCGTTCGTTGCCATCTGCACCAGATCTATCGCCATCTGCTTCCGTCCACCGCCAGATCCGTTCTTCACCTTCTGCAGCCGTCTAATGTTACTCGTTGCCGACCTGGTAACCCGACTCAACCCAACCCAAAAATATAGGGTTGGGTTGGTGAGTTCATCTACCCGAACTTTCGGGTTGGTCCAAAAAAATTGTCTAACCCGACCTAACCCAACCCGTGAACACCCTAGTGACAAATGTTCTAAATGGTCAATAAACTCATTTGACCGTTAGTTGACTAAATGTTAATGTAGCAACCAGTATTTTTCTTTGTTCTTTAAACAGCGACAACGAGCAACACTTTCAAATCTATTAGATTTAGCAATTAACGAAAAATGCAACTGCATGCGACAGACAATGAACGATGGATTGCTAAAGAAGAGAGAGGGGGGAGAAGAGAGATATGATGTTGATCATCAAATCAACAAAACACATATATATATCTTATATACATACATATTAAATTAAGATATTTTGTCACAAACATATTAATTGTCACATCAATTAAGTCAAATAATGATCAAATGGGTTCAGACACTATTTAGAACCCTTCGTTTAAAGTTATCATTAAAAGTGTTCATTTTAAAACTTCAAATACTAAATAGATACTAACTTAAACTTTAGGTACAAATAATATATTTTCTAAATTGTTATTTTATCTTGAAAGAGCAATGAATAGAAACAATATTTTCACATAAAAATCTCGATGTTAGAAACCTAATATTCAAAATATTCAAAAGTTAGAGGACTAACTTCGAAATTTAGAAACTGTACTGCAACGGAATAAGAAAAGGGAATTTAATTTGAAATCGAAGTTTAACAAGTTTTTGAAAGCAAGTGCACAAATTCAAAATTTTAAATTTAAATAAATTTGAATTGATAAAAAAATAATAAAAAAGAATATAAATTCAAAAAAGAATAATTGGGCAAAAATTGGAAGCCAGATCCCGCGTAGCAAACAAGCACCGATAAAAGGGCAAAGCGGCACCATCCACTCCACCACTGCCACCCACCGCCTTCCCTCATTTCTCTTTCTCTGCTCATTTTTAGGGATCTGAAACCGCCATGAATCGCCACCACGATCCCAATCCTTTCGATGAAGAAGCCGTCAATCCTTTCTCGGTAATTTCCTCACAATTTCTCTCTTTCTTTTGTGGCCAAGTCTCATTTAGATCTGCTGTTCATCACTTTTTTGCGTTTTTTGTCTCCTGTTTTACGCGATTTTTAATCGGCGAATGTCTCGATCGGGATCTCTGGATCCTCTTTTCTATTTTTGAGTTTTGAGGTGGTGAAGGTGAGGTTGTTGGATTCTTTTTCGCCTGGATCTGACGGAAATCTTGCTAAATTTGGAGGAATTCTGTTGGTTTCTGGCTGCTGAGAAAATATCGTAGAAGAATTGTAGGAGTGGTGTGGAGCAGTTGAAGAAAAGCCGACTTTCTGAAGTAGTACTTTTTTTTTTGGAGTACTGAGGTGGATGATTTCATCATTTAGGATTGAAAATGAGCGTCATCACAATCTAATTTCACTGTTTGTGTAGAATTATTATTTGAATATGCATCGTTAAAAGCAAGCATTTCTTGATTAGTTATTGACAATGCTACTGATTTCTGAAAGTAAAGAAGTAAGCAAATCAAGCTGGTTTTTAGGAGGATTGAAACGGTAATATCCATTTGTTTTTACTAATTTCGGCATCCGCAGAAAGGTGGTTCTGGTGCCGCTCCTGGATCGAAGCTGCGAGTTCCACAAGTGGTATCAGATGCTCTGGGCTTTGGACAGAAGCATGATGCTACAGTGGATATACCGCTTGACACGATGAACGTAATGAACAATATCATATTATGTTTTTTTCTTGCTTAGATTCTCTTTACCTGGAACGGAAGAAGCAAGTAATGTTTTGTTTGGTTCGTTTAGGATCCGAAGAAGAAGGAGAAAGAGCTTGCTGCTTGGGAAGCAGAACTTAGTAGGAAAGAAAAGGTTATTTTATGATATCCATAATTTTGTGCTTGTTTGCGAATAATACTACATCTTGGTCCAT